GTCGCGTTCAATATGATTGCACTTATGTAGTGTTTGTTTCTGCTTGTCGGCGTATAGTGATACCCCAAGGAGATGCCATGCCACAGTCCACAGGGCGTAATGCATTATGTTGGTGAACACACGTCATGTTGTTGCATAATTGGCCTTAGTTTCTTGATACAAACTTTTACATACAAACTTATATATTCTTGTGACTTTAATGACTAATCATTCCATTTGAACTTCACGTCCAGTGAGGGGCGGTGGGGTAGCCTAGTGGTTAAAGCGTTCGCTCGTCACGCCGAAGATCCGGGTTCGATTCCCGACATGGGTACAATGTGTGAAGCCCATTTCTGTTGTCCCCCGCCGTGATATTGCTGGAATATTGCGAAAAGCGGCGTAAAACAATACTTACTCTCTTGTAACTTGACTTGACTTGTAATCATTTAAACGTCAATAGTGAAAAATATCCCAATGTGATTATTCGATAAACAAGCAGTACATGGCTAATTTAAACTATGGGAAACATCAATATGAAGATATTTCTGTGTTGAATCATCTATAGTTAAACATCTCATATGAAAATCATAGCATCAAGTTTACTCAATGAAAATGCATAAACTGAAATGCTTTACCAATCTTGCAATCCATATTTGCATGCACGTGTGTGTGTGGCTGCTTGTACTGGTCCGAACTGATGCCCATTTATAGTGTTGACCCACTGAGATACCATGCCGCAGTTTAACATGAATACCCCACTCAGACAAAGTATACTGACTCCGAGCCGACCAGTCCTTGTTTTAGCCCCTTAATGCCGAGCGCTGGACAGGGTAACACTCTTTAAACGTCTTTTGGTATGACGCTCCCGGGGATCGAACCCCGGACCTTCCCCTCTGCAGGCGGACGCTCTACCACTAGACCACGAAGGCGGTTTCTTCTGCATAGAATAATGATAACTATTATATGACAAACCCCACTATTTCAGCGTTTGTATAGAATATTGATAACTATCATATGAAGAAACCAAACATTTAAGCTCCGGTATGGAATATGTATGACTGTAATACAACGAAACGAAACATTTTCGCTCCTGTATGGAGTAGGCATGACCGTTATACAACGAAACGCAACATTTCAGCGTTTGTATGGAATAACAATAACTATGATACAACGAAACCCAACATATACGCTCCTGTGTGGAGTAGGCATGACCGTTATACAACGAAACGCAACATTTCAGCGTTTGTATGGAATAACAATAACTATGATACAACGAAACCCAACATATACGCTCCTGTGTGGAGTAGGCATGACCGTTATACAACGAAACGCAACATTTCAGCGTTTGTATGGAATAACAATAACTATGATACAACGAAACCCAACATATACGCTCCTGTGTGGAGTAGGCATGACCGTTATACAACGAAACGCAACATTTCAGCGTTTGTATGGAATAACAATAACTATGATACAACGAAACCCAACATATACGCTCTTGTGTGGAGTAGGCATGACCGTTATACAACGAAACGCAACATTTCAGCGTTTGTATGGAATAACAATAACTATGATACAACGAAACCCAACATATACGCTCTTGTGTGGAGTAGGCATGACCGTTATACAACGAAACGCAACATTTCAGCGTTTGTATGGAATAACAATAACTATGATACAACGAAACCCAACATATACGCTCTTGTGTGGAGTAGGCATGACCGTTATACAACGAAACGCAACATTTCAGCGTTTGTATGGAATAACAATAACTATGATACAACGAAACCCAACATAAACGAAACATTTTCGCTCCTGTATGGAGTAGGCATGACCGTTATACAACGAAACGCAACATTTCAGCGTTTGTATGGAATAACAATAACTATGATACAACGAAACCCAACATATACGCTCCTGTGTGGAGTAGGCATGACCGTTATACAACGAAACGCAACATTTCAGCGTTTGTATGGAATAACAATAACTATGATACAACGAAACCCAACATATACGCTCCTGTGTGGAGTAGGCATGACCGTTATACAACGAAACGCAACATTTCAGCGTTTGTATGGAATAACAATAACTATGATACAACGAAACCCAACATATACGCTCCTGTGTGGAGTAGGCATGACCGTTATACAACGAAACGCAACATTTCAGCGTTTGTATGGAATAACAATAACTATGATACAACGAAACCCAACATATACGCTCTTGTGTGGAGTAGGCATGACCGTTATACAACGAAACGCAACATTTCAGCGTTTGTATGGAATAACAATAACTATGATACAACGAAACCCAACATATACGCTCCTGTGTGGAGTAGGCATGACCGTTATACAACGAAACGCAACATTTCAGCGTTTGTATGGAATAACAATAACTATGATACAACGAAACCCAACATATACGCTCTTGTTTGGAGTAGGCATGACCGTTATACAACGAAACGCAACATTTCAGCGTTTGTATGGAATAACAATAACTATGATACAACGAAACCCAACATATACGCTCTTGTGTGGAGTAGGCATGACCGTTATACAACGAAACGCAACATTTCAGCGTTTGTATGGAATAACAATAACTATGATACAACGAAACCCAACATATACGCTCTTGTGTGGAGTAGGCATGACCGTTATACAACGAAACGCAACATTTCAGCGTTTGTATGGAATAACAATAACTATGATACAACGAAACCCAACATAAACGAAACATTTTCGCTCCTGTTTGGAGTAGGCATGACCGTTATACAACGAAACGCAACATTTCAGCGTTTGTATGGAATAACAATAACTATGATACAACGAAACCCAACATATACGCTCCTGTGTGGAGTAGGCATGACCGTTATACAACGAAACGCAACATTTCAGCGTTTGTATGGAATAACAATAACTATGATACAACGAAACCCAACATATACGCTCCTGTGTGGAGTAGGCATGACCGTTATACAACGAAACGCAACATTTCAGCGTTTGTATGGAATAACAATAACTATGATACAACGAAACCCAACATATACGCTCTTGTGTGGAGTAGGCATGACCGTTATACAACGAAACGCAACATTTCAGCGTTTGTATGGAATAACAATAACTATGATACAACGAAACCCAACATATACGCTCTTGTGTGGAGTAGGCATGACCGTTATACAACGAAACGCAACATTTCAGCGTTTGTATGGAATAACAATAACTATGATACAACGAAACCCAACATATACGCTCTTGTGTGGAGTAGGCATGACCGTTATACAACGAAACGCAACATTTCAGCGTTTGTATGGAATAACAATAACTATGATACAACGAAACCCAACATATACGCTCTTGTGTGGAGTAGGCATGACCGTTATACAACGAAACGCAACATTTCAGCGTTTGTATGGAATAACAATAACTATGATACAACGAAACCCAACATAAACGAAACATTTTCGCTCCTGTATGGAGTAGGCATGACCGTTATACAACGAAACGCAACATTTCAGCGTTTGTATGGAATAACAATAACTATGATACAACGAAACCCAACATATACGCTCCTGTGTGGAGTAGGCATGACCGTTATACAACGAAACGCAACATTTCAGCGTTTGTATGGAATAACAATAACTATGATACAACGAAACCCAACATATACGCTCCTGTGTGGAGTAGGCATGACCGTTATACAACGAAACGCAACATTTCAGCGTTTGTATGGAATAACAATAACTATGATACAACGAAACCCAACATATACGCTCTTGTGTGGAGTAGGCATGACCGTTATACAACGAAACGCAACATTTCAGCGTTTGTATGGAATAACAATAACTATGATACAACGAAACCCAACATATACGCTCTTGTGTGGAGTAGGCATGACCGTTATACAACGAAACGCAACATTTCAGCGTTTGTATGGAATAACAATAACTATGATACAACGAAACCCAACATATACGCTCCTGTGTGGAGTAGGTATGACCATTATACAACGAAACGCAACATTTCAGCGTTTGTATGGAATAACAATAACTATGATACAACGAAACCCAACATATACGCTCCTGTGTGGAGTAGGTATGACCATTATACAACGAAACGCAACATTTCAGAGTTTATATGGAACAAAGATAATTATTATACCACGAAACCCAACATTTCAGCGTCTGTGTGGATAGGTATGACCATGTTACAACGAAACGCAACATTTTAGCTCATATATGGAATAACTGTGACAATTACGAATGAACCTTAACATTTCAGGGACTGCATTGTGAACACTGAATTCCCATTACTTTTCTGTTTATTTTTCACTAATCTGTCTTTACTTGAGAAGGCAGACTTTATTATGAATAGAGGCGAACATAAATAGTGATTGCCTTTCAAAATAAAGGACCGCAATATGCTCTTCCATCAATACACTTAACAAAACCATAATTATTCATTTCAACAAAACGCTGTTACAAAAACTTTACAAAGTAATTTTTGTAATGTTCTTCATACATGCGCGAATATAATTTTCTCTCTGCAGGGACTGGATGATATAAGTTATTGTAGAAATCTGGTTTATTCTCAAATGACCATCCCCGTGAGGTTGGAATTGGTCTTCAGCAACTCACGCTTGTCAAAAGAGGCGAGTTACGGGATCGGGTGGTCAGGCTTGTTGACTTAGTTGATGCATATCATTGCATTCCAAATGCGTAGCTCGACGCCCATGGTGTCATTCACTGGTTTGTCTGGCCATGGTAACCTCCCAAAACCCCTACATCCCATTTCCCCTACAGCTTAAGACAACAAAGTTCACGGTCCATGGCACTGCTAATCCCTAGTCTGTTACCTATTTCATACAATGGAACAACCCAAGAAACACGAATAGATTGAGATAAATATTTAATTACGATTACGATATTATTCAAAATTCCTAATACATTATATTAAAATGTTCATTTTTCAAAATTCATAATACATTATAATAAATTTCATCTCAAATGTTCAATTTCCTCCTTATCCCAGCCCGAGGAGATGGCCAACCGCATCTAGAAACTGCATTGGGGATTTCACCTCTCTATTCAACTCATCCTTCAGGCGGCAGAGACGGTTCTCCACCTCTCTGTACACTCTCTTCCTGCCTCTTGGAGCTGCTCCAAAGTCGAGTTGTAAAGTCTTAGCTCGTTTTGCCAGTTCCACCTTCCTGACTACCTCTACCAATCGGTAGATGTTGGGATGTCGGTGAGGGAGACCTCGGTTGAGTCGGTTATGAAAGCCTTCAAGGTTGTTGTTCGTCCTGGGACCTGTTGTACCGTGATAGTTCCACAGTGGTAGGGGGAATCGTGCTCCGTGGTGGACCCAGGTAGTGACGATGTAGTCGTTGAAGGCGATAGCTCTTGGTACATCTGGTGTGTTGTCCATTGCGTCAACCGACGTGTCCTGGATCTTGTTCTGGGGGAGTAGGGTAGGCCAGCTGCTCTTCTTATCCACTTGCAGACTTCAGGATCTTCTCGATACGCGACAGCTAGTCCCAGATCATGGACCTTACTCCATATCATCGTTGGTCAAGTTGGAGAGTTCGTCGTTGTAGGGGGTGTGCATCGGGGTTGACTCTTTTCTCGCTCTCTTCCTCAGGGTGCTCATAAACCGGACCTTCTGGCTATCCTCAGGGGCATGGTTATGCTCTGTAGCATTCCTCATCACGGTTCCTACTGTCGTGAGTCTTCCTCTACATGTGGACTTGACACACTTCCAATGTACGCAAGTCAGTCTCTCGACGTTCTTAGTGTGAAGATAACCATCAAATAGGACTTGGGGCTTTCCTCTCTGTGACATAGCCATGTTGATGTCATGTTAGTACTTACTTACTTACTTACTTTCCGACTGATGCGTATTTCGCACACGGTAGTCATGTTAGTCAGTTTCAAGTATCTATATACTAAACCTAGCCATCTCAACTGTAAATCGTCTCATCTCAGTTTCTCAGTGTAATATTTTTTTCTTCCTATTGTTATTTTTTGTAATTTCTAAAAATTGTTTTGTCATCATACAGGCATCTTTCATTACACTTACATTAAATTAATTTTTTAAAACTTTCCTTTAAGTCCCCTAATCCCCTAAAGCTCTACCCCTTTCATTTCTACTACCTCTACTCCAGACCTTAATCTCTCCTTTAGGTGAGTTCATAATGCCAGACAGGTAAATGCCGCGTGTTGTTTTAACTAATTGTAGGGGAACTGGGTTGTAGGGAAAATGGGATGTAGGGGTTTTGGGAGATAACCCTGGCCATAGTTTGAATATTTACTGGCCTCCGTGATATAGCCGAAATAGTGTTGTGTGCGGTTACAACACCCAAAGAAACAAATCAAATGAACATCTGTATCTCAATCACAACATAGGGAATGGATAAAAGTCAAATCAATTGAAACGTCAAGTTTCGTTACAAACTGCAGCTATGACACACGAACATGTCAGACACTTACTATCTGTGATGAACGAAGGCAGTAAACCTGACCTTACAATCCTTTAATCCTCATGATCGCTGTGTTGTGGCAAATTCCAACAGAACCCAATTACATATTTGGAATGCTTTAACATTTCCTATGAGAACAAACTGAATTAGGGTCAGTAGCATCAGTTCAGTAAGTCTGGTGTATGTCCAGGCTCGGTCTAACCAGCATGATATGATCAGAAATTTAGATAGTAATTGTTCACATGGTTGATGTGTAACGAGATGATGGTTAAGGGGATGCGAATGTCGCCGTTGTGTCCTCAATTTGTAATGTTATTAACATATCGTTAACAATGCTAACTGGAGTAGATGTCAATCTGTCATTGACCCCCTGTGAAGTCAACTCAAAGTATTCATCAGCATGAAACTAGATTAACTTGTTAACTGAGAATGGACCTCGGTGCAGATTTTGTCCTGACACTAAACTTTGAATGTCGTAAACTTGATCAAACAACTTCTCAGCAAGAGTTGTATGACGCTCTTTGAAATCCTGGTAGAATGAGGTGGCTCGATTTTACCTCAATGAGCTGGAGGTGCAGGAATATTGCTTGACATCCCTCTTGTCATACAGTCTTGTGGTGAATTTTTTCTGACTCTGAATAATTACGCATTGATCTGAATATGTAAAAGATGAGGTGTCACTGGTTTCTTTTATTTCCAGTTCAGGAAGAAATGCTTTCACGGGCATTGGTCTGGAGGTTTCAAATTCATCATAAACATTGTAGACATCTTTTCTTTTTACTGGTCTTTACAAACACTAAGGCACTGGTTATTTCGTTCCATGACACATTGCTTTTGAGAACAAATACAGCATCAGTTAATGACAACAAGCTTCCCTTTGAAGTTATAACCAAGAATGTTTTGGACGATGCTTTGTCTTGAAAAAGAACATTTTATGATTACCGTGCAAAGGAAACACCATAATGGCTTTCTGCATCGTTTTATCGTATCGTAAGGTTAATGCGATACATAGATAATTATTGTTAACGGACATTTTCGTGCACAATTACACGTAACCAAAGTGTCCTACAATGAATTCGAAATTAGTACGAGTCATTTTACAATTAAAAACGTCTCGCTTCTCAACCAAGTCAGAACAACACCAAGGTTAGAGAAATCATGTGATTATATTAACGTATAATGACGGTGACATAAAAGAGGACATTTTCACATTTTTACTACTTTTCAATTTCCTATACACATTTAAAAATGGCATTCTGCGAAGTGTAACTGTACTTTTTGTGAGGATAATGTCGTTCTGGAATCCCATGAACACACTTGACAAAGGTCAACAACTTTTTTCTGCAAATAAAACATATCAAGCAGAGTTTCTGATTGGTGCATTTTAGCATCGACAGAAAGACCTAAAGAATAAGAAATGGGAATTATAAAGATGAATGTCCGGACAACACAACTGTAAAAAAATCACGGAAAAAGTTTTGTCTTAAGCTATTTGCCTCCAGCATGTCCAAGATATAAAGTAAAAGTACAAATCACGCAAAATATATAGGAACATATTAGTGTGAGTATTGAGTAGGGACCACAATACCAACATGATGTCAATAACGATTTTAATACTCATAATAGATATTAGCGTCAATAATGAATAGGCACAGAAACGTGCGGATGGACATGTGTGTTGATAATTTGGTGTAAACATTGATTATTTGATTTTCGGTGTAAATATTAAATATTTGATTGTTCGGTGTAAACATTAATTATTTTCATGTTAACTTTAAGGCATGCGCGCATAATAATACGCACAGCCTCTCTATTCACGTACAGATTTCAATACACATTCCCAAAATACACGGAAGCTTTGGCTCGGGAAGCATGTATACATTACACTGTTGTAATTGTGTACAATATAAAGACTACAAATAATGTGTAACAATCAAACTTAAGAAAACAGATTACCCAAAACATTGTATTTATTTCAGAGTGAGTGAGTTGGGTTTAACGCCGCTTTTAACAGTATTCCAGTTATATCACGGCGTGTCAGCTTAATGTGGGAGGAAAGCCCGAAGTGATGCAGGTCTCAGACGTTTACCACTTCGGTGAAACCCACGAGCACGGGTATGGTGCTGACAAACCTAGAAACATAATCGGGGCGAACCGGGATTCGAACCCACAATCATAGGTTTCTGGCGTGCCCAAGGGACGCAACTCTGCACAGCGCCTTAGGCGACTGGGCCACCCGTGCCCCCCATTTATTTCAGACATACTTAGGCTCTGTTACATGTATGATTCCAGTTCCTGGTCTTTCTATTCTAATTCTCGCAGGCTGAAATGAGCAGATCGTGCATGTTATAATAATAAAATGTATCGTTGACGTCCATCTAACTCCTAAACCACACCCATACATAAGGAAGAGAATATATGGATGTCAACTTCTTTATTATGAGGAACACAGCGTTTCGGAGTATATGCTTACTCCTTCATCAGGTGAATGAATGCCATGAGGCAGAGAGCATATATATGTACATGTAAGGACAACAAAGTTAATAAGATATCAAAAGGTGGAAAATAGAAGGAAAATAACAAAGGGTAGAAACAAACAAGGGAAGCCATCAGATGATTGAAGCTGATGTATATTTAATATTAAAAAACTACTATTCACACGACATATCGTTGTTGAAAATGCAAAAGAAAGCAATGTAGATCATACAAGACAGGAGCTGGCAACTGGGGAACGTCACGGTGCAATATGTTCATCATGTCGCAGAAAGAAAAGCGAGGGAAAAAGGGGAAAGGGGATCAAACTAAATCTGAAAGTTTAAGGTACTTTTAGACAGTATTTCAAGAGACAAACACCAAACGCAACCTGACAGAGGCAGCTTCACACCAGCTCAAGGCGACGTTTCTGGCCAACTTTATGTAATGCCAGCCATCAAGGGTTCAACTGAAACATTTCAAGTTGATATAGTATGGATTTCATGTCCACATTCACATCCACAGTATCGATTGTCTTTTAGAAATAGGTTGTTCGCTTTATCTTATGGTCGTAACTAGTTAGAAATTGATCTTTTTATGGCATTAGGCAAAAGAATGCTTTTCGTAACAAGCAAGTTATATTCGGAAGTTTATGCAAGGATTAAGGTATAAAATCACTTAAAACGATTTTTTTCAACTGAACAGTCTAAAATAATTAAGTTTATTTCCTTTTTTAGCTATAACTGCTTGATAACTTTGTTTGTTTGTTGTTTATCGCTGCACTCGGCAGTATTCTAGCTATATGACGGCGGTAGGTAAATAATCGAGTCTGGTCCAGACAATCCAGTGATTGATATGATGAGCATCGATCTACACAATTGGGATACAATAAGCCTGACCACCCGATCCCGTTAGTCGCCTCTGACGGCAAGCATGGGTTGCTGAAGACCTATTTTACCTCGGATCTTCATGATAACTCATGATAATGTTGATGTGATAATGGTGTTGGATAGTCTGTTAAATATTCACAGCCATCCTGTCCTGGGACGTCATATGATGTCCGCCTGTAAATAATCGTTTCCGGACCAGAATATCTGGTGACTGGCATCATGAGCATCGATATACGCAATTGTGATACGGTGACATGCCTCAACCAAGTAGCGAGTCTGACGACCCAATTCCCTTTGTCGCCTCTCACGATGAGCATGGGCTGCTGAAGACCAATTCTTACCCCGATCTTCACGGGTGAAATTAACTTAATTAAGTTCAGGAAACTAATGTGACGCGTCAGAATATTTTCTTTAATTCACTGAGGTGTAAACTCGTTGAGGTGGTTCATCTTTCGAGTCATGCGCAATTTCGCTACATCATCACAGCAGAAAAGTCACTATATTGATCTTTATACTTATTAAACACCTATACATATTCAACCTTTCAAAACTACTTCCAAGAATCATGGTACTATTACGAACGCTAA